CCTCCAAACTCCAGGGGAAGGATACTGCAAAATCTGCATTCCCTCCCCACTCCATGGGAAGGATACTTCAAAATCCCCATTCCCACCCCACTCTGGGGCCAGCCAGAGGTAGCATTTGCCAGTTCTCGAACTACTCAAAATTTCCGCTACCGGTTCTCCAGAACATGTCAGAATCTGCTGAATTTCATCCCTGGTCCTTCCAGAAAAACTTCCCTAAACATTTTTTAAAAATTCTGCTTTTATTATTTTTATAAAGAACTTGGAGGCCAGGAGCGTAGTTCCTCCTCCTCTTTTCCCCACAACAATCCTGCGAGAGAGATAGAGAGAGAGAGAGAGAGAGATAGAGAGAGGGGGGGGAGAGAGGTCAACACAACTTGTGGAAATGCCCGTCAGGCGGATGCTCCCCCTCCAATTCCCCCCTCCCCAACCAGACTGACACAGATGACATTTTGGGATGTACAGGAATGCCATGGCTGCGTTTCTCAGCTGGAGACCCCCAAGGCTCCTGGGCGACCATGTTGCTGTGGCTTGATGGGGAAACTGAGGCAGCACCAGGGGCAACAGGGGGACTCTCTTAACTGGTGGGCAAGGCTCACCCAGATTCTCCTTCACCAGGGATGGGCATCTCCACCGTGACAGCTGCTCGTATCCTGAAGGGCCAGCTGCAGCGGAAGACAGGCGAGGAAACCATATTGGAAATGGACCGCTTTCCATTCGTGGCGCTCTCTAAGGTAAGGAAGGCCCCGTCTTCCTTCAGGCTGACGGCTGCTGATGGGTGGAGGAGGAAGGGAAGCCGAAAGAGTCCCAAGCCGTGTGCCTCGCCCGTTCTCGGGAAACCTCCCCAGAAGTTGGCAAGGCTTCAGGTGACACATACGGACCCCGGCCGAGAGGGAGAGGCTGGCAGGGCAGCGGGAACCCCGAGGTTAGCTCATGTCACGGTGTGGGCAGAGAATGAAGAAGAGAGAGAGGAGAGAGAGGGAGGGAGGGAGGGAGAGAAGGAAGGAAGGACAGAGAGAGAAGGAAAGAGAAGGATTGGCAGAGAGAGAAGGGAGGAGAGAGGGAGGGAGGGAGAGAAGGAAGGACAGAGAGGAGGGAGAGAGAAGAAAGGAGAGAGATAGGAGAAGGAAGGACAGAGAGAAGGAAGGAGAGAGAGGGGGGAAGAGAGAAGAAAGGAAAGAGAGAGGAGAAGGAAGGACAGAGAGAAAGAAGGGCAGAGAGGGAAGGAGAGAGAGGAGAAAGAGGGAGGGAGGGAGAGAATAAAGGACAGAGAGAAGGAAGGAGAGAGGGAGGGAGAGAAGGAAGGACAGAGAGAGGAGGGGGAGAGAAGAAAGGAGAGAGATAGGAGAAGGAAGGACAGAGAGAAGGAAGGAGAGAGAGGGGGGAAAGAGAGAAGAAAGGAAAGAGGAGAAGGAAGGACAGAGAGAAAGAAGGGCAGAGAGGGAAGGAGAGAGAGAGGGAGAGAAAGAAGGACAGAGAGAAGAGAGAGAAGAAAGGAGAGAGAGAGGAGAAGGAAGGAGAGAGAGAGAAGGAAGGACAGAGAGGGGAGAGAAGAAAGGAGAGAGAGAGGAGAAGGAAGGAGAGAGAGAGAAGGAAGGACAGAGAGGGGAGAGAAGAAAGGAGAGAGAGAGGAGAAGGGAGGGTAGGGAGAGAAGAAACGAGAGAGAGAGGAGAAGGAAGGAGAGAGAGAGAAGGAAGGACAGAGAGGGGAGAGAAGAAAGGAGAGAGAGAGGAGAAGGAAGGAGAGAGAGAGAAGGAAGGACAGAGAGGGGAGAGAAGAAAGGAGA